ACCACCCTCACCCCTTCTCTCAAAAGGCTTGAGCAGGGATGATCCCACCCTGTTACAGTGATCCAAACAAGCGACCTGTCGGTGCATCCCTGCATCCCTCCCACCCAGCCCCCTAACATCCCGCCACCTCCCCCTCCCCCATCCCCACATTGCAGCTCAGGGACAGGCTTCTGCGAATGCTTGGCGAGTGAAGGATTATTGCCCCCGGGGTCTCTGATAGGAAGATCAACATTGCTCCTGGTGTCTTTGCCACCCCATGTGAAGGCCTGCTTGAGAATGAATCAAGACACAGGAAAACAGTCAAGACATGAAGAGAGAGCTCAGATATGTCTGAGCTCTAGTCCCTGAATCCAAATATGTCTAACTAGATACCTGGGTGTTTTTTTTTTCCACTCTTGTCAGATAGAGTTAAATTTCTGTCATTTGCAATTGTGACCACCCTGACCAATAACTTCCTCCTTCCCCTTCCTTTTCAGAAGCAATAAACCAAATTCCTCTTTGCTTCATGCAAAGCAGCTTCCCCTTCTCTGAACTGGGAATCTGCTGACATCTGTGCCTGCTGGGAGTTTAAAATGTTTTCACTAAGATAGTTTTCTCCTTATGACATCTATTGGTGCCAAAGATTAAGATGACCTTTTTTTCCCACCTGTCACAAAAATATTTATATAATTGAATTTTGTATCCTGCTTTGTGTGTGTGTGTGTGTGTGTGTGTGTGTGTGTGTGTGTGTTTTCCTTTTTAAAATGTTCTTAATACCTCCTTTTTTTCAGTTTTGATCAACAGGAACTATACATATGCCAGCCATATGCAAGGGCAACTAACATTTTATGTTGGAAATTTTCCCATGTCATTAAAGACTTCATAAATGTCTAGTATTTTCAACCAGCACAGAATATACAGTCACACAGTTTTAAAACTAAACCTTTATTGTTGAACATTTAGTTTTATTTCCAAGTTTTATGAATAATGATAGACACATAATGCTGTCTAAATCTTTCATCATTTCTTAGGACAGATTCTCAGAAGTAGAATTTCCAGAGGAATTTTTTATTTTATCCCCCCAAAAAAAATGCAAAAAGAAATTTATCAGTCACTGCTGTAGTAGTGTCTGCCTCCTCTAACCCCACATAGCTGGAAGAGATCTGGTCTGAAGTGTCTTCAGATGGCAGAAGCATCAGGCTTCTTTGCAGGAGCTTCCTGTTCCTTCTGAGTGCCCTGCCTCAGCTGACCTCAGGGAGTTGTTAACTTGCCAGTAGCTGCGCCACTCCACCAAGCAGTGGGCGCCCTGTCAACCCCACAGACCTTGCAAGGCTGGCATGGTGCACGTATCTGCTTGTAAAAACTGTATGAAAAGAATGGTATTCAGGGCAAGCCCAAAAAGGAGAGATGCCAAGACAAGAAAGTCAGGGTTAATTGTGACCAAATTTTCTTTTCAAAGCTCTTCACTTTTTATTTTTCTTTATTTTCCTTAAGCACATGTGATTTATAATGTGAAAAATTAATTTATTGGGGACAGCAACAACAACATGAATTTCTCAAATTTGGCATGAGACTGGAGATGATCTTCTGGCTCCTGGGAAAACAGCTGTGAGTTATCTGGCTTGGCAATGCTGCCTGCAAATCACCGGCTGACTCAGAAAAATGCATCTGCACTTTAGTCACCAGAAGGAAGGGCTGATTCCCTCTGGGGCCACCACAAAGAGCAATCGATGACTATCTTCCAGACCTGGAAGAGGGTTCCAAACTGCAGTATGTAAAACCAAGGAGTGGGGCTAAGACCAATCAGTGGGGAGCCTCCAAGAGACAGATCTTTGACTCACTGCCAGAACTTCTTAGCAGACAGAGTAGTGCAAAGATAAAACCAGCTGCTCCAGGAGGTGGTGGCCTCCGCATCCTGTGCAGCATTAAAGCACATGCTGAGGCCAGCTGCCCTGGATGGGTTGGTGGCCGTTCAAGGGCAAGGCAAGAGAGCAGTTCTCAAACTGTTTGGTTTCAGGACCTTTTTACACTCTTAAAAATTATTGAGAACCCCAAAGAATGTTGTTTATGTGGGTTATATATATTAACCATATTAGAAATTAAAGTTGGGGCTGGGCACTGTGGCTTATGCTTATAATCCCAGCACTTTGGGAGGCCAAGGCGGGTGGATCATGAGGTCTGGAGATCAAGACCATCCTGGCCAACATGGTGAAACCCTGTCTCTACAAAAACACAAAAAGCTAGCTGGGCATGGTTGCGTGCACCTGTAGTCCCAGCTACTCAGGAGTCTGAGGCAGTGGAATTGCTTGGACCTGGGAGGCAGAGGTTGCAACGAGCCGAGATCGTGCCACTGCACTCCAGCCTGGTGGCAGAGCGAGACTCCATCTGAAAAAAAAGAAAAAAGAAAGAAAGAAATTAAAATTGGAAGTTACAAAGTATTAGGTCAAGCATGGTAGCTCATGCCTGTAATTCCAACTCTTTGGAAGGCTGAGATGGGAGGATTGCTTGAGCCCTGGAGTTTAAGACCAGCTTGGGCAACAAAATGAGATTCCGGCTCTACAAACAAAAGTTTAAAAATTAGCTGGGTGTGGTGGCACATGCCACTGGTCCCAGCTACTCTGGAGAATCACCTGAACTCAGAAGGTAAGGTTGCAGTGAGCCATGATTGCACCACTGCACTCCAGTCTGGGCAACAGAGCAAGACCTCGTCTCAAAAATAAATAATAAAATAAAGTATTTATTAATCTTTTTGTTTTGTTTTGTTTTGAGATGGCGTCTTGTCTTTCTCCAGCCCAGGCTGGAGTGCCGTGGTGCAATCTCGTCTCGGCTCACTGGTCTCTGCCTCCCATGTTCAAGCAATTCTCCTGCCTCAGCCTCCCAAGTAGCTGGGATTACAATCACCCACCACCATGCTCAGGTAATTTTTGTATTTTCAGTAGAGACAGGGGTTTTACCATGTTGACCAGGCTGGTCTCCAACTCCTGACCTCAAGCGATCCGCCCGCCTCAGCTTTTCAAACTACTGGGATTGTAGGCGTGAGCCACTGCACCGGGTCCCTATTAATTTATTTTAAAACAACCTTAATAAATTATGTTTGTGATATAACTAGCAGATTTCCATGAAAAATAACTATACTTTCTAAAGCAAAAAGAAAATAGTGGTAGGAGTAGCATTCCTTATATTTTTGTAATCTCTTTACTACCTAGGTTAATGGAACACAGCTGGATATTTGCTTCTACATTCAATCTGTTTCAGTGTGTTCTTTGGGTTGAAGTATAATTTAAAAAAATCTTATATGTGGTTAGAAAAGACAGGGGTATTCTAATTGCTTTTTTCAGATCAGTGTGAATATTCTTTGATACCACATTAAAACTTGACGAGTGGGAGTTTCTTAAAGGTTGTTGCAATGTGGAATCTGAAATCATCAATGAACTTTTCACACTGTGTATACTTGTGTGAGAATGAGACTGAAAAAGGCAAATAATATATTAGTATTATTATGAAAGTGGGTTTAACTTTATGGACACCTGAAAGAGGTTTTGGGGATCTCTGTGTGTTCTGAGACCATATTTAAGGATTGCTGAGGTAGAGACTTGACATAGAAGACTTTTCAGTCATTCATTCATTGCCTATACATACACTGAGCACCTAAGGTGTTAGGCACCTGAAAACACTTATGAGTGCTTACCATTAGCCAGACACTATATCAAGTATTCTACAGACATTACTTCATGTAATCTACAAACAATTGTATGAGGGAAATTTGCCTGTTTTTATAGGTGAAGACACTAAAGTGTAGACAATTCAGATACTTCCTACCAGATCACACAGCCTGATAGCCTAGTGGAGCCAGGATGAGAACCACGAGGCTAAAACTGTTTCTCAGTAGATTTATCTATTTATTTTTTATTTTAGTAAAATATACATCATGTAAAATTTACCATTTTAATCATTTTTAAGTGTACCATTCAGTGGCATTAAATACATTCACAACATTGTGCAACCATTGCTACTATTTTTTTTTTTTTTTTGAGATGGAGTCTCACTCTGTTGCCCAGGCTGGAGTACAATGGTATAGTCTTGGCTCACTGCAGCCTCCACCTCCCAGGTTCAAGCGATTCTCCTGCCTCAGCCTGCCAAGTAGCTGGGATCACAGGTGCCCACCATCAGGCCTAGCTAATTTTTGTATTCATAGTCGAGACAGGGTTTCACCCTATTGGCCAGACTGGTCTCGAGCTTCTGGCTTCAAGTGATTCACCCACCTCGGCCTCCCAGAGTGCTGAGATTACAGGCATGAGCTACCATGCCTGGCCATTGCTGCTGTTTATTTCCCTGGCTTTTCTCATCTTCCCAAACGGAAACTCTGTGTCCATTAAACAACAGCTTCCCATTCATCTCCTCATCCCCTGGGCTTGATAACCACTATTCTACTTTTTGCCTCTATGAATTTGCCTATTCTAGGTACCTCATGTAATAGAATCATACAGTATTTGTCCTTTAGTGACTGGCTTATTTCCAATAATGTCCTTAAATTTCAATCATGTCGTTGGTGTAAGCAGAACTTCTTTCCTTTTTAAGGATGAATAATATCCCATTGTATATATATGTCACATTTTGTTTATCCTCACTTGTTGATGGGCGTTTCTCGGTACATTTTAAATAAACAGTGACAAGAAGTGTGAACAGTGCTATGTTAGAAGTAAATGCAGGTCCTAAGGGGGAACAATCAGCCCAGCCAAGTCGAGCGCCAGGGACTGCCTGAGCTGAGACTTGAGGGATTGGTGGGAGCTGGCCAGGAAAAAGGTGGCAAGGGAGGAACTCCAAAGCTTAGAGGTGTAAGAGGGAAAACTGTAGCCAGTCCATCAGGGCTCCCAGTCAGGTTTGGATGGAAAGGGGCACGAAGTGAGGTTAGAGAGGCAATGACAACCGACGACTGACATTACAAGACATTTACAAGGGCGAGACACTGTGCTAAGCCTCTTGCTTTTTTTTTTTTTTTTTTTTAATGAATACACAAAACCTTTAAGTACAAATGTTTTTCTATTCAGCCCCTGTAAAGCCATCGGATGTCTGAAACGTTTTTAAACATGAACCAAAGAGTTTAATTTTAACAACTTAGGAATGGGTGAAATCCTACCAATTTAATAGAGTTCTGCAAATTAGTAACAAAGTGTAAAATGAAAGGAAGGGTCCCTTGGAGATTTGAAATTCTTCTGTTGAGAGTCGTGTCTTCTTTATTCAAGACGTTTGTAGCCATTTTCAGAATTCACTCAAGAACGAGCTTCTTAATATGGGTATCACCAAATGAGTCATGGCAAAAAATACACGAAGAGAAATACCACCGCGTCGAAAAGGATGAAGAGCCACAGGTCCAACCAGTAGGAGTGTTTAGGAAGCCCGTTTGTCCCGGACTGAGGCCGCACATCGAGGTTCTGCCTCCCTGCCTCGCTCTGGCCTCGCCGCTCCCGGGGACCGTCTTGACCATCACCAGCCGGTGCGTCCACCTCCATCTCGCTCCTGCAGCTTCATAACAACCCTAAAACCTGAAAATGCCTCGGTTCCCGGACTTTGGTGCTCGCCGCACCAGAAACTAAGCGGAGTCCCACCGCCCGCGCAGTCCGCCGCGCCCCAGCTGGCCTCTTGCTTGTTTTAACTCATTTAAACATTACAGCAACCCTATAGGAGAGAAAACTAGTTCTTCTTGTGCGTACACTGAGGGCTAGGCACTAGTCTCAGTGCTTTGCATGAAGTAACAAATTTAATCCCCCAACGACGTGAGGTTGAAACTGTTATCACTCCCATGCTATAGATAGGAAAGTAAGGCATAGAGATGATTCAAAAAATTGCCCAGCATCATGCCAGATCACACTTGGCTTTGAACCCAGGTTTCAGTGACAAGCTATGCTTGTCACTACTGTGTCTGACAATTGAGGACATAAGGACAAGGTAAGGAATTTAGATTTTTAGCTAGCAGGCCCACTGGACAGGTTTAGGCAGAAATCAGCCAGTCCTGATTTGTATTTTATAATCATCCTATTAATAATTACTGTATGGTGAATGACAGGCAGGGACAAGACAGAGAGAACAGTAAGCCAGGTGAGAAGGGGAATGGAGAAGGGGTGGTGACAATACAGGGAAATGGTGGGTGGGAGGGTTGAAAGAAATTAAGGAATCAAAATAGTTAACATGTGGTGATTTATTTATTTTCTTCCTGATGGACTGTCCTATGACATATGGTGATTTACTAAAGAGGAGTCAGGGATAACTCCCAGATTTCTGAGAGAAGAACAGTGCATTTCATAGAGATAGAGGGTACGTGGTAGGAGCAAGCTTAGTGTTGGGGAGAAGCAAGGGATAAAAATAAAAAGAATATGAGAAAGACTGAGTCTTGAGTACATCCAAGGAGAGTGATCTAAGCATATAAGCTCCATGAAAATAAAGGTCTTCATCTCTTTCATCCACTGATGTGGCCCAGTGCCAAGAACAATACCTGGCATAAGAAGATAACCCCATAAATAGTTGTTGATTGACTGAATATGGGTCTAGCGAGGAAAAAAACTCTGAATTGGAGGTTAGGGAATTACAATGAGAACTGGAGCTACATAGCTGGTCAGCAGCATGTAGAGTGACAAGAGTTGTAAGGACAGAGCTCCAGGGACCCTAGCCTTTAAAAGATAAACAGAGGAAAAGCAAGTGAACCCTAGAGAGACTGATGAGTGGCCAGAGACAGGGAGAAACCAGGGGATGGGGGGCTGTCAAAGGCCATCAAGAACCAGAGCACCTTCAGGTCCTCTCTTTTTTACTGGGTCCTCTGTCTGCTTCTCTAACCAGCAAAGGGGCACCCAGATTTTAAAGGTAAAGTAGGCTTTGCAGCTCTGCCTTCTTTAAGCTTCATGCATATTAAGAGCAACTAAGGTCTGAACAGTGCTTTCCAGTTTGTAAAACATGCTTTCTCAGATTCTTCTTTTTTGAATTTCAAATCCAATACACTTTTCTTTTCCAGACAGGGTCTCACTCTGTCACCTAGGCTGGAGTGTAGCAGTGCAATCATAGCTCACTAACTCGACCTCTGGGCTCAAGCAGTCCTTCCACCTCAGCCTCCTGAGTAGCTAGGACCACAGGGGCACACCGCCACACTCGGCTAATTTTTTAAAATAATTTTATAGAGATGGGGTCACCCTGCATTCCCTGGTCTTGAACTCCTGTCCTCAAGCAATCCTGTCACTGTGGCCTCCTAAAGTGCTGGGATTACATGTATGAGCCACCACACCTGGCTCTTCAATATACCTTTTACTAAACATTTTTTATTCAGGTAAAAAGTATTTACAATGAGATGCAATATTTTTTTTCTTTTTTTGAAATGGAGTCTTGCTCTGTTGCCAGGCTGGAGTGCAGTGGTGTGATCTCAGCTCACTGCAACCTCTGCCTCCCAGGTTCAAGTGATTCTCCTGCCTCTCAGCCTCCTGAGTAGCTGGGACTACAGGCACAGATTCTAAAGGTCAGAGCAGCTAAGAATTTGCTCACGGTCTCATAAGTGGGTATTGAAGACAAGCCTTTTCTGACCTTAATTCTCTATGCCTCTCTCCCTACACGGGGATTCTTTAAAATGAACCAGCATCTGCTGCCAGGCCTGTGACCTCAAATGAACCCCAAAATTCATAATTTTATAAGCCTACATTTTCACTAGTAAACTACTAAACGAATTTTCCATTATAAAATGTGATGTTCATAAACAAACACTGGGCTGTTACAAGAGTTTAAATTTTCAGTATTCCACAAGGAAGTCTGTCTGCCAGGCCAATCTTGGCAAGCTGAGTTTACCTCCTTCTCTTCATGGCTTCACACAGATAACTGGTGATATAGTTTGGATATTTGTCCCCACCCAGATCTCATGTTGAATTAATGCTGGAGGTAGGGCCTGGTGGGAGGTGTTTGGTTCATGTGGGGGCAGATCCCTTATGGTTTGGTGCTGTCTTTGTGATATTGAATGAGTTCTTATGAGATCTAGTCATTTACAAGTATGTGGCACCTCCCACTGCACTCACTCTTGCCCCTGCTCTCACCATATGAAGTGCCTGCTCCTGCTTCACCTTACACTGTGAGTAAAAGCTCCCTGAGGCCTCCCTAGATGCCAACCAGATGCTGGTGCCATGCTTCCTGTACAGTCTGCAGAACTATAAACCAATTAAACCTCTTTTCTGTATAAATTACCCAGTCTCAGGTATTTCTTTGCAGCAATGCACAAATGGTCTAACACAGCTAGAATGCCCTGAACTTGGGGAATAGACTGTTATCAGATCATCAAATCCTTGGTGTTGTCTTGAGTTTGTCATGATTTTTAATTGCTGCTTTCTTCCACTTTAATTTTAAATTACTGATACTTACCTTTCCCTTGTTGCTTTAGGTTGTTAAATGTTATAGAACATTTAGGGAGACATATTTTCATCAGCAGCATTTTTGTCCTATCATTTGCTAATAAGTAGACTTTAAGATATGTGTACTTTGTGATTCCATTATGACATAGCCATACCCCCATTGCTAAAGCCAATGTAAATATTACCTCTCTAAATTTTGTTTTCATGATCATACTTCTGTGGTGATATGTGTGAATCCCTGTAAAAGGGTGCTAGTTAAACAGCTTGCAACATGCTCTCAATATAATGCAATAAATCACTGAGTTATTATTAACTTTATCAGGAACTGTTTATCATTCAAAATTGTATGAAAGTACATGTTCTTCCAGTTATACATACAACTGTATTATTTCATGTGGTAACAAGTGGGAACAAGGAAAATGGGAAAGTTTATTGAGGTTTAGGAACAATTTCCACACTGTATTCCAGGAGGTGGTAATATGATATAGTTGAAAACTCAGGCTTTGGAATAAAAATGACTTGTCTACACACCAGATGCTTGACCGAGGGCAGGATGCTTCTCTGTTTCAGTTTCAGTTTCCTTGTGTTTAAATGAACCAAATACCCATTACCACAAACACATATTTTGAAGGTTAAATGAGATAACTATATGCTTGGAACAAAGTAAATTATATCATTACTGTTTTTCCCTATACGTTCTCTTATCAGGTAAAACCATAGAACTTGCCTTCCCTATGGCTTCTCCAAGATTTCACCAGGTGCACAAATGCTATTTGGTAATACAATCTGTCAAGCGACCAAGATCTATCTTTTTGAAAAATCTGAGTAGAATTCCATTTTAATAACTGGACAGGCCAGGCGTGGTGGTTCACACCTGTAATCCCAGCACTTTGGGAGGTTGAGGCAGGTGGATCACCTGAGGTCAGGCATTCAAGTCCAGCCTGGTCAACATGGTGAAACTCCATCTCTACTAAATATACAAAAATTAGCCAGGCATGGTCGGGGGGGCCTGCAATCTCAGCTACTAGGGAGGCTGAGGCAGAAGAATCACTTGAACTCAGGAGACAGAGGTTGCAGTGAGCCGAGATCACTCCATTGAGCTCCAGCCTGGGCAACAGAGCTGAAACAGAAGCGTCTTGCCCTCATCTCAAAAAACAAACAAAAAAAACCTGCCCAACCTTGTAGACTCATAAGTTATTTCTTTATCCCACATCCAGAACATAAAAGTTCGAGGCCCTGCTTTCAGTTATTTTTGGTACAGTGTATACTCAGAAGTGAAATTGCTGGTTCATATGATAATTCTATCTTTAATTTTTTGAGGAACCCCCATACTTTTTTTCTATAGCAGCTGTACCATTTTACATTCCCACCAGTAGTCCACAAGGGTTCCAAAACTACTTACTTTTTATGTATTTTTAAACTTGTAATATGCAATACTAATTTTATTTTATTTTGAGACAGCGTCTTGCTCTGTTGCCCAAGCTGGAGTGCAGTGGCACAATTATGGCTCACCGCGACCTCAGTTCCCGGGCTCAGGTGATCCTCCCCCCTCAGCATCGTGAGTAGTTGGGAATACAGGAACGTGCCACCACATCCAGCTAGTTTTGGTATTACAGTACTAATTTTTAAAAGTAGTAAATAATAAGTAGTCTAACATTATTGTTAGTTCTTTAAAGATCTTTCAGAGATAGACTAAGCCTAGACACAAATATCCAATTTTGGAGTCATTAGCATATAGACAGTATTAAAAGCCATGAGACTGGATAAGCTCTTCTAGGAAGTGTTAATTAAGTGCTTACTATGTGAAGCACTATTCTAAATGCTTTACAACTGCTATCTCGTGTAACTCTTATAATAACCCAGTGAAGTAGTTATTAACCCCCATCTTACAGTAATTTACCTAAGGTCCTGTGGTTGTTAAGTGCTTAAGTGCTAGAGCTGGACTTGGAACCAGAGCGATCTGACTCTAACTCACGGAGTCAGACTCTAGCTTCATGGCTCTAGCTCATGGAGATGAAGCTTCATAGCCTCTCCCTCAACAGGCCCCTTCCTAGATTGGCAGCAGTATAGCTGCATGGTCATATGTTTTCAAAGTTTTGCAAAGGTAAAACTGACTCATCACAATCACTTGAAACCACTTTTTCTTCCCCTGCAACTATTCCTCATGTAAGGCGGCAGTGGAATAACTACAGCCATTTTTGGAACACAGCTAAGGGGAAGTTGAATTGAACATACATTTAGCTTGGATTTAGTTGGACATTGCTATGT